GATTTGACCTCAAGCTTTTTAATAGAAACCAGTGCTAAAATCGGTGTTTTTTAAATGCATTAGATATTCAATCTTTTATGAAAAAATCTTTAGTGGTTTTCCTCTTGCTTGCTCCTTTGTGAGGCGGTAATTTTATTTCAGGCGGCTATGAGAAATAAGGCTATTTGCATTTAAAATATTTCAGTACATTTTTAAAAGTTGTTGCTCAATGAAGAATATTAATAGTAATAGCTCGGGGAAATATTGTATAAAAGCAGACCAAAACGCAAGGTCTCGAAAATTCTATAGATCAAACTTTAACAGTTTACTGTAAGGCTAAGAATAAGAAAATTTTGTAAAAGTTAGTAGGAAAATAATTAATATTTTAAAAGAAAACCTCGTTTTCATGAAAGGAAAACAAATATTTATACAAACATTTGGTAATATTTTGCTGCGTAAACATTCACTTGAAAAATGAAATCTTTGCATATCCAGACTAATCCAGCAAGCAATTTTCGCAAAAGGAGAAATTTTAAGCTGGATTAATTCTTGTTTAAACCGAACCAATTCGAGGATAAAGCTGTCGATGTTCACAACATTTGTCTAAGACAAACATCCAAAATCTTTATTATAAATTGAAGCAGGTTTGCGAAAATTAAATTTTAATTTTAGGTAAAACACTCATTTATTACGACCTGGAAATATTTTAAAATTTATTATTTTATTCTTTCACATACATTTTTATTCGTTTTTTAGGTACTAGCACCACACTGACTCTAATTCTAACGCATTTGAAGAATAGATTTGCGAGTATACAGGATGGTCCGTATTCTGCAAATAAATATAAGTAAAAAAGTTCCTATAAATGCATGTCCTATATGCTTAGTTTCGGAGATACAGGGTGTAGAAGTTTCATTTTTATTTCGATTTTTTCCAAATAATTTCTGCAGTAACGTCAATATTTGGATGAAGATTGATCTAGGAGTTTTTCGACATGAGCAATTTGATTTTGATGCCAATATGACTCGAATTCGTAGGGAGCGCCACCTACATATATTTTAACTGTTTTGAAGAGTAATAACTTTTTGTTCGTGCCTGTATAAAACTACTGAGTAAAAAATATACATTTACGACGTTTATTACGCAAAAAAGTGTTCTTGGTAAAAATAGCTACGAGTAATGGTTCTCGAGATATTTGGAATCGAAATTATCAATACCCGTAATTATTGACAAAAATTAAATATTTTAGATAAATTATAACTATTAGACTGAAATAATAAATTTGAAATGTTTTTGTGCCAAAAGTTTAACAGAAACTGTTTTATAATAATTTTTTCCAAGAAAAATTTATTAGTAATTTAAAAAAATATATATATCTCAACCATGTTTATTTGTATCGACTATTTTTATTCTAAATATCTTGGGAACGGTTGCCCATAGCAATTTTTACTATTTTTACCAAGAGCCGTTTATTACGTAAAAAATGACGGAAATGTATATTTTTTCACTCAGTAGTTTTATACAGGTACGAACGAAAAGTTTTTACTCCTAAAGCAGTTAAAACACAATATGTAGTTGGCGCCCCCCTACAAAAAGAAGTCATATTGACGAAATCAAATTTACATATCAAAAAATACCCAAACACCAATTTTTATCCAAATATCGACCATAGTAGCATACCATAGCATTTTAAGACATACATTTATACGAACTTATATTTATCTGCAGAATATGCTGCCGAAGTTTCCGGAATACAATTCCGCCCACCCTGTAGATTGGATATTATTACTGACTTCATTGGTAAATATTTTTTCTTCGTGGTCAAGGAGATGTAACTTTCGTAAATTAATTCTTTGGATTTGGTTGGCGCTTCCTTAAAATAAATTGTCGGCATTCTACAACACCCCGTAATCAATACTCTCTCAACTCTCTCCAGCTTAATCCGCCGGTTTTAATGAGCTGGAGTATGATAGTAAATTATCGGCTAAAAAGTTTTCCATAGTATTACATAATCGAGTCTCCAGTTCGCCTGGTACACCGCCAACATCTTCTTAAGCCTACAGTAATTGTTTTCCAGGATTCAATCTAAAATACGTTATTAATTGATATGTAAATAACCCAAAAAATCAATATCGGTATTTTGTTTCCATGAAACATTTTTTTTTAATATACAGGGAGGTCCTTAAGAGATATTTTTGACGTTAAAAATCACGTAAATGAATATTTTTGCATCCGGTGGTTTTATACAGGCACGGACGAAAAGTTATTACTCTTAAAAACAGTTAAAACACATTTAGGTGGCGCCCCCTACAAACAGGAATCATATTGACATCAAAATCAAATTTGTCATGGCAAAAAACTCTCAAACACCAATTTTCATCTAAATATTGATATTACTTCAGAAATTATTTGGAAAAAATCGAAATAAAAATGAACTTCTACACCCTGTACCTCCGAAACTAAGGATTTTAGGACATACATTTATACGAACTTTTTTATTTATTTTTATCTGCAGAATAAGCTGCCGAAGTTTCCGGAATACAGTTCGGACCACCCTGTATATTAAGTAGCAGTTATATTGATATCAAAATCAAATTTCTTATGTCAAAAAACTACCAGACCAATTTTCATTCAATTATTTACTACGTTAGGTCTAAAGTTATTTGGAAATAAATAAAATTTCCACACCTATTTTCAAAACTAAGCATTTTAGGACATTTATACTAGCGATGAGAACTATCGAATGAATTAGACTATCGAATGGTTCCTGAATGAATGATTTCTACTATCGAATAGTTTTATTCGAATAAAATCATTCATTCATTTGTATACTAAAGCATATGTGACAACCTCGCCGTGCGACTAAATGGTTATCGTTGCGCCACGAGCCACTATCGAATGCTTTTGATAAATGAAATTTAATATTTAGTATTCGTTTGATTTTTGTGTGCGTCAGTGCATTATTAGTTTTTCCAAATTTTTGTAACTTCGCCTTGTAAATACTATGCTATTTTTGCGTTTATTAAAATATTTAAAATACTAAAATAGTAGTTTTTTTTTAATTGACGATTGTGTGCGAAGTGGTCAAAATTTTTCCGAAAATTTGTGTGATTTTCCGTAGCCCGATCTTTCAATTATTTAATTATATATGGTATATTATGGTTAGGTTAGATTGCATTTTTTTAATGGGAAATTTTGAGAAGTAGCAATTTTTAAGAGAGATGAGATGAACTTTAAAAATACATATTTGTATTTTAAATGTTTTAATAATATGAATTAGTTGAACTTAATAATCATATTTAAGTAATGTGGTTAAGTAAAAGGTTATCGAACTCAAATTTTGGGGTGATAAAATTAAATTGAAAGTTTTACACGTGTCAATTTTAAAAAAAAGTTAACAATGTTTGTATTTTGTTTATGCTAATTCACTTACATGTAGTTTTTTGCGAAGAAATATTTCATTTATTTTTTAAAGTAAATACCAGTAAAAGTAAATATTATTTTTAAATAGTAATATAAAGTAATAAAAAGTAGTATAAATAATTTTGATTTCTAATTTTTTATTTATATTTTCCTTCCATTACACTGCATGCTTAGAAAATTAATAAATGTTTATATTTCATGATTTTAAAATTTGTTGTTAATATAACAAATTATTTCTGTAATTATTATTATTTAATAAACCAACGTTGCCATTTAGAGACTATATTATTTTTAAATAGGATCTAATATAAATACTTTTGACTTCTATTTGTTGTTTATATTTTGCTACTACTTAAAAAAATGTTTATATTATTAAATGATTTTAAATTTTGTTGTTAATAGGTATAACAAATTTTTACTGCTATTATTATTTATAAAACCAGTCTTTGCTTAAAAACATTAAAAATCATTTTTCTACATCCAAAATAAAAAGTATTATTGCAGTGTAACAACAGAATATTAATAAAAAAATGCAAAACATATATAGATATACTATCCCTAACTAACTAATGCTAAAGAATAATATTCTTTGTTAATACCAACTAATACGAATATATGGCAACAGCGCCCTTCATAATGTATTTTCTGTGTAAATACTAGCACCTCAATAAAAAAAATAATGTGTCCTTATCATTATTTGACTCCGCAAAAAATCAAAGACGCCGGCTTCTTTCATAGCATGGCCACCGACCGCTGTCGGGTTTCTAGGAAAGAAACCTACGTCGCCGGACGACAACTAAAATCCAGTTTATATTTTATTAAAATCGATCCTGACCAATAAATGAATTTGATAAAAGAATGAATTTTATAAATGAATGGTTTTTGCTGCCGAATTACTAGAATACAATACTTCAAGGCAGATGACGCATCTATTCGATAATTTTTATTCGAATAGTTTTCGACGAATGTTTTCTTACTAGCTATCGAATTATTCGAATGAATTGCAACTATCGAATGTTTCGATAGTATTCATTCGATAGTTCCCACTACTAATTTATACAAACTATTTTATATATTTTGAGCTGCCGAAGTTTCCCGAATATAGTTCGGACCACCCTGTATATTTAAATAGGTCGTTTTTAAATTAATGTGCCTATCTACCCTAGAGATAGAACAGCTTCTATTAATTTTTACTGAATTCTAAACACTATACATATGTCATCACAAATACTACATTAGCACGTTCTTGTTAAAGGGTCGAAGCAATTTATTTTCAATTATTTCAGCTACGTTTATTAACCACGTAGATAATTTTCCACCTAATAATGTTAATTGATATTGATTTGATTTCCTACAGAACTTACCTTCTGTTATATGGCCAGAAAATTGGACCTTTAATCAAAATTACCGTATGGCTTATATCACGTCGACAACGAGAATATTTTTAGATTTTGTGTCATTAAAAAAAGTAAAAAATTTAATTTTGTTTCAGAATACTTACCTTTTGTTGTTTTCTGCACCACCATACTCAGGGAAAAAAGACGTTGCTCACACCTGACATAAGAATGAAAGAAAACAACGATTTTTTTACCTTCGATTTTATTAAAAAAATATAAACATCAATACATGCCCTCAAACGATTCTTTTAAATATTATTATTTACAAACTTCCGAAATATCACACGACCAAATAACAGCGATGCATTATTAAATAGATATATATATTTTCCCCTAATATATTCATTTTATTTCAATCGTATGATATTCTTAGATCTCCTAAACCACAACAACAATCTTATATTTATCTTTAACAAATTCAAAAACAATATGTGCGCTGTTCTTGGCACCCGAACGTGTTGTGACGTTTGTCCCTTGTCTCCGGAACGTTTCGAGGAACCATTTCGCCCCTCGACAGCCCAGGTCATCCGTAGTAGTACTGGCTGGTACCTGGGGCCCTCATCGTCTTGGCTGGCACAATATTTCCTTCCAAAATCGTGTTAGGATCTGCCGGGAAGGACTGGGAGTAAGGATGCATATGGCGTGGATATTCTGGGTACCTGACCACTTCCGCTATGGTACCCATGGGTACTGGGTGGATTGTTACAGAAGGTGTGGTCATTGGAAGCGTGGTTTGAAGATCTATGTCAACATCAACCTGGAAATTTGCAAAAAAATTTAAAGTAATTAAGCGGTCAATAAAAAATCGCTTTATACAAGGTGTTTCAAATAACCATGTGCCATCTCTCGTCGGGAGATTTCTCACGTAAAAATAAGATTTATTTTTCATATCAACATAGGTCCGATTCTGCTTTGTTTCGTAGCTACAGGGTATTAAAGTCTTAATATTTTATCGATTTATTTTAATTTTCTTCCAAGTACTTTTAGCGTTTCGAATAAAATTTTGAGGGTAAAAGTTACTATAAATATGACATATTTTAAAGCTAAAAAAGTGTCGACATATTCACCAGGGACGTGCATATGGGTTATCACTAGAATATTTTTCTAAAAAAAGCATGTACGCTACTGAAATTGCTTCTTGTTAGCAAAATAGTGTAAGCAGTTTAATGCCAATTAAAAGTTATCTCTTGATATTTCAAGCAATTTCAAATAAAAAAATAATGGTATTTAAGATACCTAATTAAAAAAATCCTAATTTTAAAAAGTTTTAACATGCTGTAACTCTAAAACTATGCATTTCCATACCCATGTTTATAGGAACGTTTTTTCAATTTTTGATGTGGAATCAATGAAAGCAAAATAAAAACACTAAATCACCACAATACACCAAAACACTTTTACTTTTACACTGGACGCGCGTTTCGCTAACCATGTTAGCATCATCAGCAGATGATTATAAACTTTTTTAAGCAGTTTATAATCATCTGCTGATGATGCTAACATGGTTAGCGAAACGCGCGTCCAGTGTAAAAGTAAAAGTGTTTTGGTGTATTGTGGTGATTTAGTGTTTTTATTTTGCTGTGTAACACCAAAGGTTCCAACCCTCAACTGGAATCAATGAGTACTTATTTAAAACTTTGGCAAGTTAATAATATTAAAAATTTTTAAAGGATGTATTGCTATTAGACTTGGATCAAGGCAAATTAATAAAATTGCGTTTATATCATCAAGGAGGCCAAAATCGACAAAATACCAAAAGACAACTTTTAATCGGCATTAAACTGCTTACACTATTTTGCTAACAAGAAAAAAAAAGTCAGCGGCGTGCATGCTTTTTTTCCCTGGTGAATATGTACACTTTTTTAGATTAAAATAAGTTGCATTTATAGTAACTTTTACCCTCAAAATTTAATTCGAAAGGCCAAAAGTACTTTACTTTAAAAGGAAAAAAATAAAAAAAAATCGAAAAAAATTAAAACATCCTGTAGCTACGAAACAAAGCAGAATCGGACATATGTTGATATGAAAAATAAATCTTATTTTTACGTAAGGAATCGCCCCATAATAGATGGCACATGTTTTTTGAAACACCCTGTATAAATAAATTAAAGATGCGTGTTATAATTAAGATTTCAGCGTGTTCTATGGGGGAATACGAAATTAAAATTCAAGAAATGTCTTAAACATAAATAAACCTCCTTTTCAATATTCATTTTTCATCGAGGTATAAAGGCCTTCGTTTGCTGAGCAGGCTTCTTCCCTACGTACTTTATTAAACGGAAGCTGATTCTGTCGTCCACATGGAACATGAATACCACATGCGTTAAAATAATAAGAAGGGAAAATCATGTTATAAACCCCAACCGAAAAACACCGTCGGAAGGGTTTTTATGAATCAATTTTTTCGTCGTCACTATAAAAATATGTTTTATGAAAATTTCTTTTCTTTAATCAAACAAAAAAAAATATTTAACTTATTCGAAAGCTGAGAATAATACGTACAATAAATCGATTAAGTTAATCTGAGGTTAGGGGAATCGAATAGGCAATATATTTAGCCGATAGAGAGTTCTACAAATGTTATCTGGTTAGCGTAGTACAGAGTAAAGACAATGCTATCATAACAGTATATTAGTTAGGGTCAAAGAGCAAACGTAAAGGACATACGCACCTCACTAATGTCATCGGTGAATCCATTGGCAAGAGTATGATCAGATATACTGGCCGTGTAGAATTTCGCTTCCCTTTGGTTTCGGTGTTTCTGGAATAAGAATCGGCCCACCAGAAAACTCAACAATAAAACAGTAGCGATCACTACGCTCACAACAAAAAATATAACGTAATTTTTGTGGATTTCTAAAAAAAATAGTTGTTTTACTTATTTTTTTGTTGTTTTTTTAATCGTATATTACCAAATTGGAGACCATAGAAATTTGTTGGTAGAAATCCAGCTTCGACGTTAGTAGTATTGTCATTTGAACTGTTTTCTACTAAGTTAGGACTAGCCGGTGATACTGCTGACTCACGGATATTCTCCCTTTCTATATCATAAACGTCATTATCTCTTTCGTCCTCAGGTGACTCGTCTGGTTCTAAAGGAGCATCGTACTGATCTTTAAGTACCCTCCTTGGTACTACAAAGACAGAAAAACAAATCAAATACAAAATAAAAAATATACAAGGTAAGACAATAAGTGCAAATATTTTCAGGGCTGGTAGATCTCGATAATAGAAACATATTTTCTCTTTACCGTTTTTCAAATAAATTCAAAATAATCGAGTTGTTTTATTTTGAAAATTTCAAAAAATTAATTATTTTTACTTAATTTTTGAGAACAACTTTTATTTACCACAAATTTAGGCTACTATCTATGTTGCCATATTATCAAGAAATAATGTCTTTTAAGTAAAAAGTAAAAAAATTTACAAAAAAAAATCCTCAAAAATTCCAAATTTTCAATTTTTTTTTCGCGAGAAAAAAACTCGTAATCGGGTTTCTTGAATCGAAATGTACTACACATGAAAATATTTGAACTTATGTAAGACTCACCCTGTACAGGGTGAGTCCTAAATAACTGCAAATATGTTCAGGACTGGTAAATTTCTATAAAAAAAACATATTTTCTCTTTACCGTTTTTCAAATGAGTCCAAAATAACCGAGACATTTTACATTTTGAGAACCGCTGGATCATTTCTGAGTTTCCTTTCTTGTGAATTTAGTCTACTACTTATGTTATCATATTATGAGGATATTATGTTTTTTTACTAAAAATTTTAAAAAAATCGAATTTTTTTCAAAAAATTCCGAATTTTCAAAATTTTTTTTCGCGAAAAAAATCTCATAGACTTTTTTTTGGGGTCGAGACTTGCACTTATTTAAGACTCACTCTGTATATTCAGTTTTAGTATTTTTTTTATTTGCAAAAGTTTAAATTTATTTGGACAATACTTCACACAAGATTTGAGAGAATTATGTATTCGAAAATAAATTATTCGTTATATCCTCATTATTAAAAGTATTTTCTTCCGTGCTTTTTAAAGTTGACTTTTAATAATGCCCAATTTAATATAACGTTCTAAAATTTTAGTTGACTATCTATGAAACGTGTTTATTAAATATTCTGAATTTTTTAAAAATTTCTAAGCAAAGTGCCGCCTCTCTATAGAATTTAATATTTTCAATTTAGGAAAAGTTATTAACCTCCGATAGGATCTTGTATTTTATACAGAAACGTTCGTCTTAGGCTAAAGTTTATGCCTCCATATTTTTTCACTAAAAATAACAGATTATGCCATGTTATAACCGGCCGCAAACAGTTTTTTTTCGTCGTTTGTTGTTTACCGGCTTTGCACACTTTCCATTTATCACTGCCAAAATCGCTTAGCTTTTTTCCCGCCGAACAACACTATTTACACATTTTTTACCCATCAAAGTCTTTTTACACTTCGTACGAGACCTAAAACGTATATTTTTGCTTATTTCGACAGACATTTCTACAATAATCATAAGTTAATCCATATATCATTTCACGCATTGCTGATTTCCTTCCGTCCAGGAAGTTATTTAAAAAAAACCTACTACGCCACAATTAATCTTGTTTCAGAATAAGATTAATAAATCGAGACAAATGTTTTCTGCGGATTCAATAGGCATTAATTACCAGCAAAATTAATTGGAGCAACTCCTGCTGCTTGCAACTACAATTGTTACCGCGTCCTATTCAAACACTATCTTACTAAACGTTAGTTCTGACTATTTGATGTAATATTAAGTAATCCTGATACCGGTGAAATTGAACAAGTTGCTCCATTTACATTTTACGAGGAAACGGACTAATTATTTATAGAGCGCAGTGGAAAATTTGCAATTTACTTACCGCATGTGTACGCAACCCTCAGGTACATCCTGGATTGAGGCTTGCAAGGGCTGCCAAACGTACTTACGTCGGCCGATATATCGCAATTTCTTTTCCCATGGCACAGATGCATCACAGTTTCCGTCGCATAACTTGCTAAACATGCTGGAAAACACATTTTAATTATAACAGAGATGAGCAAAACTGCGATTGCGATTTTTAAATCGCAGGCAGTTGCGGCTCGTGACCCGTGTGACTGGGTAGGCGATAAAATTTTAGTTGCATCTATTTTCTAACGCAGCGGCACAGTCAGCGTACACCAAGCCGTAGTGAATATTTTAATATACAAGACCACAAATATTAAAATAATATTGATTATTTCAACACACTTCCGTTTATTAACAGTATTTTTATGTATTGGCAACATTAATAGTAAATAATGTAATGTAATAAACCGCTTAAATTCGGCCAAGATTCTTGCCTACCCTGACGAGCAGCCACTGTCGCAGCGATTGTAACCTGCGATTGCGATTTTAATATTTAAATATTGTACTAGGTATACAGGGTGATTAGAACTGTATTCCGCAAACTTCAGCAGCATATTCTGCAGATAAAAATAAGTAAAAAAGTTCTTATGAATGTATGTCCTAAAATGCTTAGTTTCGCAGATACAGGGTGTAGAAGTTTCATTTTTATTTCGATATTTTCCAAATAATTTCTGAAGTAACGTCAATATTTGGATGAAAATTGGTATGTGGGAGTGGTTTGACATGAGAAAATTGATTTTGATGTCAATATGGCTCCTACTTGTAGAGGACGCCACCTACATATTTTTAACTGGTTTGAAGAGTAATAACTTTTCGATCGTACTTGTATAAAACTACTAAGTAAAATAATAAACATTTACGAGGTTTTTAACGTAAAAAAGGTCTCTTTATAAAAATCCCTACGAGTAATAGTTCTCGAGATATTTGAAATCGAAATTATCAATACCTGTCATAATTGACATAAATTAAACTAAATAGTTATTAGACTGAAATCATAAATTTGAAATGTTTTTGTGTCAAATCATCATCAATCATCATTTTTTCGAAGAAAATTTTATGATTAATTTAAAGAAATAAAAATTTCCCAAATTTATCATTTCAGTCAAATATAATAACTATCTACTCAACACGATTATTTTTTGTCAATAATAACATGTATTGGCTATTTCCGTTCTAAATACCTCGAGAACGGTTAATCGTAACGATTTTTACCAAGAGATATTTTTTACGTAAAAAATTACGGAAATATATGTGTTTTCACTCAATAGTTCTATACAGGTACGGACAAAAAGTTATTACTTTTCAAAACAGTTAAAACACATGTAGGTACTCAAGTACAAATAGGAGTCATAATGACATCAAAATTTCAAAAAACTACCAGGCATCAATTTTCATCCGAATATTAACGTTCCATCAGGAGTTTTTTTGTAAAATTTTTTAGTAAAAATAAAACTTCTACACCCTGTATGTCCAAAACTAAGCATTTTAGGACATACATTTATACCTACAAACTTTTTTAATTATTTTTATCTGCAGAAGTTTCCGGAATACAGTTCGGACCACCCTGTATAAGTGTCAGTGTATCTATAGCTTAACAGTTCAAAAGAGTTAATAATAATCAGTAGTTTAGTTTTTAAGTTTTTTTAACATCTGCAACACATTATAGGTATTAAAACTTTATATATGCTGCAAGTGATGCAAGATGGCTCACCCATCGCCCCTTCGTAAAGAATTCTTTTTCTAAATATGCCAAGGAACCTTTTGAAATTGCCTCGTACCATTTAAAATTAGATATGATTAGAAATACGACTTGGCCATCTTTTAACTGGCCAGGAGAAGACACGAAAAACAACAGACAATAGCAAGTTAAAATCGCTACGATAGAATCGCAGTTTACGAATTTTTGCCCATCTCTAATTACAACACTATGATCTGTGATCAGTAGATTATAAAAATTATGGTTTTATTTGAATTTAGAATTCTAGTTATCGTCACATAAGTTCTGTTGGGTCGTTTAAAACTTACTAATAAAAGTGTAATGGCAATGGCTTTACTCTAACGGGCAGAACTTATTAATTTAATACAGTTCGGACTTTTGAATGTTACTCGAATGGGATATTAAATTATACCAGAGCCCAATAATCCTAGCAGAATATAATTTCTGATCGAACTTTGCACCGTACAAAAAGAACATTGAGCTTAATGTTCGAAAAATAATTTATTTTTCTTACGAAAGCAAAGAAGTACAAGAGTCGCTCGTTTTACCCGGCGTATTTATATGTCTTTTGCATTTTATCAAGTTGTAACATACGATGAGAAACGGCTACATAGATATTGGCCACATATGGTCAGAAACTGTCGCACGCGAAGGTTTTAGTATCAGAGATCAAATTAGAGAAGTTGCTGACTTATAAAGATGTAAGTGATTTACTTGAATCGCAGAACTTACGACCGAGAAAAATGAAAGATTTTCCTTGAATTAAGTAAGAACAATCTTCAAATTGTTACGGGGTTTCTAACAGGACACTGTCTCCTCAATAAACACTTCAGTAGTTTGAAGCTGAGAATTACAAAGACGAATGCAGATTCTTTAGGGAAAATAGGGAAACACCAGAACACATCATCTCTGAGTGAGCCAAAACGATAGTTTGGCTGATGCCGGAGATGGAGAGCTGGCCTCTGTGGAGCCGTCTCAGATACTGGCTTTTGTCAAAGCCCTGAGACTGTATGATGAGTTATAAGTCGTTAATCCTATCCGATAGTCAAGCAGCACTAAACACGATCATCTCAGTAACCATTAACTCGAAGTTTGTCAAAGAATGCCTAGAGAAGCTCAACAAATTAGGCAAAGAAAATAAAGTCCTCCTACTCTGGGTGCCTGCTCACCAAGGGATAGAAGGCAATGAAAAAACACTCCACTAACTGGACCAGAACCGTTCTGTTTTCCAAGCGGGAACCAACTGAAAGCGGAACTGAAGAATCTGGAAGACTCCATCCGTAACATGGAATGGGTGTCCTCCAACGGTCTAAGACACTCGAAAAAGTTCCTCAGAACTTACGACCGAGAAAAATCAAAGGTTTTCCTTGATTTAAGTAAAAACAATCTTCGGATTGTCCACGGTGTTTCTAACAGGACACTGTCTCCTCAACGAACACCTCAGTAGGCTAAAGCTGAGAAACAACGGCGAATGCAGATTCTGTGGGGAAAATGGGGAAACACCAGAACACCTTATCACTGTGTGCGCCGAGACGACGACCATTCGGGCCATGAACTTTGGTACGGCTGAAGTCGAGGACGGAGAGCTGGCCTCTGTGGAGCCGTCTCAGATACTGGCTTTTGTTAACGCCCTGAGACTGTATGATGAGTTATAACTCGTTATAACTCAAGAAAGGGGAACAAACAATAAATCTGTAAGGTCGCGGTGATTAACTCCCCTCCTGTACATTCTACATTCTATCTGAATCATATATTATTGAACTAACCGAAGAACTCAAATTATTGGAGCAATAAAAATGAAATAAAAAATCTGGTCAAAATGTACTACCCCCAAAAATATGTGCTGTTTTTTTAGAATCACCCTGTAAAGTTTGTTCCAATATACGCGGTGTTTTCAAGGAACTTATTCCCGCGCAAAACGAGGGAATCCTGTAATTCGTTTTGTGATATTTTTTTTGTAATTATATTATGATTAAATGAGTTGGAAGTTTGTTTATAAATAGCATCATTAAGTTTGTAGGGAATTAGCCTATTCGCAACGAGTTAGTGTAGGGTATTTAATAAGTTACTGAAAGTTAAATTCGCGCTTCATCGAGGTTGCGATATTTACGAGTTGCTGAATAGTTCAAATACAATGACCTAATTTGTTTTAAAGGAATTTAAATGGATTACTACTGGAAACGGTTTGTTGCAAAGTGCACTTTTCGTGATAAAACTAGATAAATAAGTAAGTCCGTACTCTCTTCTGGTACTCCTTGTGGTTGCGGACATTGTATACTTTCATATGGCGTTCTCCCATAGCTGGAACTGTAAACGGCTATCCGGGAGTTGGGATTGCATCGTAACAATATCTTGTCATTTTCGCAAGCCATCTTGCTGCGAAATTCATCTGAAAACAATCGATTAAACCTACATCCTATATGATTTATAAATAAAGGCATTAGTATTATATCGTCCCAACTATAAAGTCAGTTTTAACTTCGGGAAGACAGAGACGAGATTAAGATAAAAATGAGGTCAGGCCTTGGAGATTGTTAATTTCTAGTAAAGGCAAGTCTACAGCGAAAAAAAACACAGAGCGCTGATTAAAATTTATAGCGGGTCTAAATAAAAGTTAATGAAATGCTTGTTATCTTTTTAAAATTATGTTCCCGGACAGACGAAAGATTTTCATTTTGAGACTTGATTTATATATTTGTTTTTTTCGTAAAATTTTACTTACGGCACAGAAGTTTATTAAAAAAATCACGTTAATAACAATCTACATCCGGAATTGTTTTAAAAAACATGACTAAAAATTAATCTTTGTTTTCATTCGAATATAAAGGAATTAGAGTTCATTATTGCCTATTAATCCTCTACGGTATATTATTTGACATGATTGAAAATTAATCTCCTTTGTATATGGGGTATTAAGCGTGGTTATGGTCATGTTAAAGCCTTTTCTGGTTTTAAAAATACAAAATTCAGTAATTGTCAGATTTATGAAATACAGAGGGAAAATTTTATTTTCAACTTCTATCGAAAGCTAGCGATAACGTCGTTACAATATTACACGAAAGTTCCGCGTTTGATAAATTAAATGGTAGCGAAGTTCTTTGTGCGAAAAAGGAAATTGCTACACCTCTCAAAAACAACAGAATATGGAAATTAATAGCCTGGCAGGCTGGATTCCGGCAAAATTCGAAATATTTCTTTAATTATTTTACATCCGGTGATGATGAGTACCGTAAATAATGACTGCACCAGTTATTAGATTACATTCTATCAGAAAAGTGTACCTACAGGCAGGGGTTCCTTGTTCCTTCCCGGAAGTAATGAAATAAATATAAGGTACAAACAGACCTTTAAAAATTGAAAACACATTTTTGGCACAGGTTTGGATTGGGAAATTTGAAATCGTCCGATTTTCACCAAAATGATAATATACACCCTATTTTGATATCGTAGATTACCAATAGGGGATATCGTGATATACTCTGACAGCTTATCAGAAAACGGGAAAATAATTTCAATATCGAATTTTTCTTAATTTCTCATATTTTTAAGGTTTTCTAGCACATATTTTGTTAGGTATTCAATAATCAATTATGTTTTGCTATTTTCTGTTACTTTTCAACCAATTCTATGCATAATAGAGGAAAATTTGCTAAAATAAATTTGTAAACAATCTGAAAATGTTAGGTTATACCTTTGTTCGTTCTATTACCGATTTTGAACCGTCCTAGAACTCTGCAGGCCATGAGCAAATGAAATAATGTCTTCATATTTCCTTCTGCGCATACGCATCACAGTTCTAGGACGGTTCAGAATCGGTAATAAGAGAAACCCGAAGTGTTTATTTGTTTCTGGCATTTTAAAGCAACGTTGGCAATGCTAAACCTAAATTTAGCGTGTGTTTTTTCGCTCATTCTGAATTACGAAAGACGGTCGCCAGAAGAACGGCTCCTTCCCATAACTGCTATTTTACCAACGAGATCTGACCATTTATACCCACGAGATAGACGAGAGTGTATTTACATCTTCCATGTGGAGGGTGTTAATCTTTGTTGTTATATTATATCAAAAAGATTAACCCTCCGCAAAGAAGTTAAACCAATGCAATCAAACTCTTCCACGTAACTTTATTGGATATAGGTGTATATATTTAATTATTGTCGATCTCATAATAGGTAATTTATTTAATATGCCTAATCACCCAGAAAAAAAATAGAAGATATGGCAACGTTATAAATTTGACACTGTTCTAAATTACTGGTACTAGCGCCCCCAATTTCGCTTGTAGAGAACTAAAGACGGATATGTCAAATGGCGGGAAGTTCCAAAAAAATAAAAAATTTTCTTTGTTATTTGTTAAGAAAATTGCGACATACAGTAAAACACAAAAATTTTTCATCCCCAATCAAATATGTTTTAATATCAATATCAAATATACAACAGAAATTAATTTCACCACAATAAATTAATAAAATGGGGCCGAAATGTTACAAAAAGATCAATGAGAAATTAATTTTAACAAAACTGAAAAAAATGGCGTCATTAGATGGCCAAGAAATAAAAGATTCGTAATCTACGATTTTCAAAAAGTAAAATATATTTTGGGAAAAATCTTCGATATCATTTTTTTAAAGCCAACTGGACGATTATTTCAAAGGTAACAGCTGAGTTCGTCATAATAGTGCTCTGATAAATCTAGATGGATGTAAGAATAATAAATTTCTGTGTGATCCAGGGGGCAAATGCCCCTCTTGCCCCCCTGTCCGGCGCCCATGGTTCCTTTGTTCCTTCAATAAGTAATTTATAAATATAACAAACACAACAGACCTTTAGGTCCCGCATTGTTTCCGACAGCTTGGTGTTTCAAAAAGCATCACCATGCAATCAGTAAAATCCAAAATTGTGATGAACTGTGAGACTGCCGAGAAGCAATTTCCTGGCTGCGAGAAACGGACAGACTCGCTAAAGAGAGGGCCAGGGGAGAAGCCATGGCAGATGACCCACCACTTGTGACTATCAACACCACAAAACACATACACAAGAAGAAGTGCGAGCGCCTTGCTAAATATTGGAAAGTGAAATTGACGTTTAAATTTGACACTGTTGACAAGTCTACTGCTACTAGCGCCCCCATTTCGCTTTGTGGGAACTACGGACTAAATTGTCACGCATGGCGGGAAGTTTAAAAAATAAAAAATTTATTTCTTCATTTATTTTAATTACGACATACACAAAACACAAAAAATACACCATTTTTTAAAAAAAAATATGTTTAATATCAATATCAATATACAACAGAAATTAATTTCACCACAATAAATTAATTAAATTAAAAAGAATAATGTTACAAGTGTAGATCAAGAGACAAAATTAATTATAACAAAACTGGAAAAAATGGCGTCATAGATGGCGATTTACGAATACAGTATATAATAATTTTCAATAGTAAAATTGGAAGAAAAAAGATCACTTCGATCATCATTTTGTACTATTTTCCCTTTCATTTTAGATCATCTTTTGATATTTAGGAAGGATAAATAGGAAGGAAAATATAAAATTCAATTTGATTTGATGATCCTTTCCTGTCACCTAAAATCAGGAGAACGACAATGAGCATGTTAAGATGAAAAAAAATTATCAACACTTACCTACACGTTAGTCCGAGGAGTTTTAATAAAAACCTATATATTTGCCTAAATAATTTATGTATTAAATTTGCAAAGCAAAATGCAGCGTGTAAACAAAAGAAATAAAATGGCGACAAGTCAACGTCAACGACCCGACAAGGAGAAAAGCGGTGTTCGAATAACAAATTATGGGTCACCAAAAATTGTTTTTGTCTCCTTTCAACGCACACTTTAGAAAGGAAAAGAGATGAACTGGAATACTGAAAGAACGTCAAGGCTTTATCTGTCACTCTTGTCAATAATTTATCGGTAAGGAAGATTCCTAGAAAATCGCTTGTAGTCAAGTTTTCAACCATTGCCAGTTCTTCCATAAGAAGTGTCATCCACCTGATCAACACACTGAAGGAAGCTATAGGAATAGGAACTACCATCAAGGCCAAGCAGCAAGGGACGTGGCAACACCGTGAGGAACCTAGTACGCATAATTGTAGGTGTCGTCACTGGAAACTGGCACACGGGGGTAAACCTCGTGATATGGATAAGATTTCCAGCGACGATTACTGCAGAGAATGTAGAGAGGAAGAAGAAACCATAAAACACCTGCTGTGCCATTGTCTGGCAGTGGAAAACCGACGCTTTAAAACTTTAGGGCGCGGCTTTTTGGAGGGACTAGAGGAAGAAGCAGAAGACATCAGGGATATTGGTAATTTTGCAAAGAGCCGGAAGTACTTTACGGAGTACTTTGCCGGAAGTTTTTAACGGCAAAGAAAGAATGAAAAACCAATCCAAACCCAATATTTTTTTAATAGTCTTTTATTAAACAATTATACACAATTTTTGTGCACCCTCAAAGTTTTAAACTGCGCGCCACCACCGCCTACAGGTACTTAATAAAATTAATAATCGACTGTAATCTTACCAGGGCGACATTTGTACGCTACTTCGACATATTTGGGTAATCCAGGGCAAGGATCTCCTCCGAAAGTGGTAGGGGAAGTTTGAAATTTGCATTGGCGCTTTTGCTGACAAGCTTCCACGACAGTCTGTAACAAAGAGTACTACGTGCTGTCAGTAAAATAGCCCCACCCTGTATATTTAATAAATTACAGTTTAAAAATAATCCTACAAGAACTTTGTTGGAGTTAAGATAAAACTGAAGAATATCCGAGATTACACCCAGCCCTGTATTTTATTTTTTTCCCGAGTTGACATGGTTACAATACCCTCATCCTTTTCGGGTTTCTAGCTTTCCCTTTCTGTAAAACCATCAATGTATTAACCCTAAAACTCCCTAATGTCCCCCAAAAAAATGTAACTTTCTGCCCCATCAGGGTTTCCCGAAGGGTAGTTCTATAGAGACTGTTAAAAAACTATACCAGATAAATTAAGTATAAGAAGGGACCTAAAGAGGTGTAATTTGAACAGTCGAGCAAGATGAAGTACGTAAAAAATATATAGAGTGGCCTAAGACTAGCAAAATATGGTTGACAACGAAAAAATCGAAAATGTATTTAAAAATAATTTTTAAATATTATAAAGTAAAATCCCTAAAGAAGATATTGATTTGTACGTAACACCTGTATTTTTGTATCTCAGCATTTATTTTTTTCTTTCGCTGGTATTACATAAAGCTTTTCTTTTTAAAGGCGGATCCTGTAAATTTTATGGGGTAGTCGGCATTTGTTTTCCGCGTCATTTTTTAGGATATTTACATATTCTAACTCGTAGGGGGCTAAGAAAGGAATAGAATACAAATATACAATAATACGGATAAAATATTTGAGGCGGCTACACGTATTTACCCTATGGAATATTTTGTAGTGAGTTAATTGAGAATAATGTTCATATTTTGTAAATTATATAAGTTAAATAAAATTTCCGATATCTACCGTTTTAAAAATATTAGTAAAGGTCTGAAACAAGTGAAACTATCCTTATCGTGTGTAGAATTTTATATTCTTTCAGGATATGTCTTAGGTTGATCTTTAATGCTAATAGTTTTAAGGTAGTGCCCGGGAGAGACAACTCCTATTTCCAGCATTTTTGTCTAAAGTTAAAGAAACAGTTCAAGTTTCTTTGTTTATTGTTAAAAATATTAATATCAGTACGATTTTACAGGAAATGCAGGGAATTATATAAACTTTTAGAATATCTATAGCACTGTAAGAAAATACTTGAAATTTTATAAGTGTAGTTTTAATTTTCAAAATTCCTTTCATAGATTCAGGCTGGCTAATAAAATTTTCGATATCGACCGTTTTAAAAATATTAGTAAAAATCTGAAACAAGTGAAACTATCCTTATCGTGTATAGAATTTTATATTCTTTTAGGATATATCTAAGTTTGATCTCTAATGATAATAGTTTGAAAGGAGTGCCCGGGAGAGACAACCCTCTATTTTCAGCAATTTTGTCTAAAGGTGAAGAAAGAGTTCAAGTTTCTTTGTTTACTGTTATTATTATGTTACCCATATTACTGTTATGTTATTATTACTGTTATTTATGTGTATTAAAATATTAATATCAGTAAGAAACAACTGAATTTTACAGGAAATATATAGAATTTTATAAACTTTTAGAATATCTATAACACTGTAAGAAAATATTTGAATTATTAAGTGTAGTTTTAATTTTCTAAATTCCTTTCGTAGATTCAGGTTGGCTAATATTTTTTTTATATCTACCGTTTTAAAAGATATTAAAGGATATTAGTAAAGGTCTGAAACAAGTGAAACTATCCTTATCGTGTGTAGAATTTTATATTCTTTTAAGAGAGGTCAGTTCAAGTTTCTTTGTTTACTGTTAATAATATTACTAACGGTGGATAAAACGTTAATTTATTTTTATCGCCTTGTTGATGTACTGTTTGTTTATTTTTCTCTTTCCACTCAATCTTAAATTAAAGCAATACATTCCATTTTGAATGCGCAGAATTTGTCCGGCTGTCGAATAAATAACGTTTCGGTCCGCGTTAAATATATATTCTTAATTCCCATTAAAAATATATCGCTCTAACTTACTTAACTAGGATTAACTAGGTCAGAACAAAGTAAATTAGGGCATAGGTATTGTTCTAAAACGGAGCGGTAATACCCGCCATGGGAGCAAAGAAACTCGTCGCCTAATTTGAACCATTTAAATTTTATTTAAATGTCTGCGGAATATTCTGCAAGAAACATTAAATAACTTAAGATGGCGTAAAATTTCACATCTCCCGTTCAAATTGAGCGATTAGCAAGTTGACTTTCATCACCGTGTGATGAATTAAACTTGGAATTAACCGATTACAAACGACAATTATGACAGCGGGCTTACATTGCCTCAAAGAGCGACATAAAATAAAGTTTGGCTTCTCAGGAAATCCGAAAACCCCTTGTTTTTTCAATTTTTCAGGCAAATATTTATATCGATTTATCTGAAGAACATATTCCGCATGGGATTGAATCTGTTTGCAACTTTCTCATCATGTCTTGGGTATAACTGTTCGGGATTCTCCGTATGATTTCATAAAATTTTAACACGGCAAGTGGCTTGTAGGAGTGCGTGAAAAAAGCATTTGCCCCTTGGGAGACATTTTAAAAATTGATAAAACTTTATATCTACGTAATCCTGTGTGAAAGTTTTTCAAGAATTCGACGGTTTATTGTGAACGCCCCTTCAGGCCCCCTATAAATATTTCACTTTTTAATTTAAACTGTACTAACATACTTTTCTTTGAAAATTTAAGTCACAAAAGGACAAGCGCATTTAATAATGCATCTGAACTGCAAAAATATATTTTTCTTTCTGAAAAGTACAGAAAATACATAGCGTTTTATAACATGAGCTGTTTAGATAATAGAAGTAAATAAATAAATACTATTAAGTCCCGTCCACACATAAAGTTTTACCTGTTCTGTCAAAACATAGCAAGTAAAATTATAGACGGTCTACTGTTTTATTTCTTTCATAGATTCAGAGAAGCTAATAAAATTTCCGATATCTACCGTTTTAAAAAAAAAATATTACTAAAGGTCTGAAACAAGTGAAACTACCCTTATCGTAGAATTTTATATTCTTTTAGGATATGTCTTAGTTTGATCTCTAATGGTAAGAGTTTTAACTGACAGGTAAAAAATACTGAAATTGTCAAATCACCCAAAAATTTTATATTTTTTCTAAACGGTCATCTGGTGACTTAAAATATGCGTGAAAATTTATTACAAGGTTTAAAGGATAAGTCCATTATTTTGTATTATTTTGCTGAAGTCTCGATATAAACAAGCGTTAAACTATCAGAAGAATTTGCGAAATTAATAGGGTCTCAGTTCCAAATTTATCCCTGAACTGAGACCTTATTAAATTTAAATATTTAACATCATCCTTTCCTGGATAAAATGTATAAACTTGAAAGCACAAGTAAAAGTAATTTAGTTAAGTAAATACTTTTCCTTTTTGTCAAAGCAAAAACGTTGAAATTGAATGAATGTAAACAAAGTTTTACTTTCTACGTTTTTTTAACTTTCTTCTTATTTTTCTCCAAGTGGAAAGGGAGATGTCTTAGGACCTAGACAGAATCGAACTAACGTATAGACAAACATAAAAAAATATATTGTATTTTGATGACATGACTGTACATAAATAAGTTATCTTTTACTGTATTAAGTGAATTAGAAAACACTAACCTGTATGGTGTTAGGTAAGAGACAAACAGTTTGCTGTGGAACATCTGGCACCAAACTTGATGGCATTTGTTTGGAACTGCATAATCCGTGAGATGAGGATTTTCCATACTGGGCAATCTGCACCGAGATGCTCGTGCCGGCTGGACATTTTAAAGTAACGATATCGTTATCGCATCCGGCAGTTTGATATGTTCGTAACGTCGCTGAAAGGAGAGCTAAAAACAACAAAACTTTAGATAGTTACTCTTTCAAAATCTTCAATGAATAAAAAATAACACTTTCCTCACTAAAAACTGATATTCTTACTATGAAACTAAAAGAATTTCGGACATACATTGTCTTTATTTATTTTGCTTACACAACGTTTCTGTTAGAAGTATCACTGAGCGTTATCAAGTGTGAACTAATGTAAATCCTAGAACTACTGAGCTTAATATACTAAATCCGAGCATTCACTCGTTAAAAGTTGGGTGCAGTCAAGTATGAGGTTGTTCACTGAGAATACCTCCATTGGAGCGTTTCATGAGTGGTTGCCATATTGTTGAAATTTCCATACTTGGATTGCTAAATATTTCATTATTGCTAGACATGAATACGGCCTCTTTAAATTTGCGTTTTTTCCAATGCGTGTCTTCGTGAACAATCCGGACTTCGGACCATTATATGTTGTGGTGCTTGGACTACAAATGATCTACAATGTCCAACTTCATTGTTTCATCTCTTTGCGTATTTTTTTCATGTTAAGGACGTTTTGTCTTTCCAATATACAATTCACTCGCACCGGTTTTGTTTTTCTTAGGACACTTCTTAGAGTAGTCCCAAGCTTAAAAACAGTTGTGCTATTCGTCTGATCTCCGATGTTCTTTTATATATTATGAAATCGTCAAGAGGGAGGAAGCAGCCTCTTCAGGCTGGCACACCAATGAGTGAGACTTGCAATTTATTGTCGAGAAATTTTGCTGAGTTACCATTCAGAAGCAAATCGGTTTTAATATTACTTAGTTCAGAACCCAGAGATTCTTGGTCACTGCATATAGTGATTGCTCGATGACATAATGTTTCAACTATACCTTCTTTGGTTGCTTCAGCATTCTGATCAGTTTGGCTGAGAATTTAAATATTGTCCCTTAAGTGTGGCTTTTCTATATACAGGAGCGACAATGGATCCATCGCTTTTACTGACAAGAACATTCAAAAACGGTAGAAGGAAGTTTTCCCTTTCTCAATCGTGAATCTGATTGAGTTACTTCGTGAATTCAGATGATTGCCAATCCCACTGTCTATCGATTCCATTCCAGATTATAAAAGTATCGTCAACATATCGAAGTCAGATTTTGGGTTTGACGATTCCGGTACTAATGGCATTGGCCTCAAACCGTTCCAAACCATTCCAAACCGCATACTTTTCAGCATAAAACTTATCTTTAACTTGAAAATAAGAATTATGCAGACATCATCTCAAAAGCCTCTCTACTTCTGACCGAAACGTTGTGGAAGCAAATGGTTCGAAATTCTTTTAGTTTCAAAAACTGATATTCTTAAGCAAGGAAATATCCAGAGCATCCTTGGACACGGTTTCAAAACGATATTATTCACGTTATTCGTACTTTTCGGTGATATTTGTCAGTGTGTGTACAGTCGCCGTCAAATAGTGTAATATATTCTAACTCTCTGTGCTTGGCTTGGATACATGTATCCTCTACCCTTGATGGAATTTATGGGATTTGCTTTGCTCGGTTTTAGTTAAATCCCCCATGTTTGTTTTAACTGCGAACAAAACGAAACCCTTTAAATATGGCCTTTTCTAGCGAACAGCCGGACAAATTGATTGATTTATTGGCTACTTTAATATTTTTAAGAACCAGCAGGAACGTGTAAGGTATTTTACGAGTTTCCTTCTTTGGGCGGTTTAACTTTCTAACCTGAGAAATGTTTGATTAAATTGGTTGTAAAATTAAATCGAAGCTCTAATATATAAATCACGATTAATACAAATTTCTAAATTTACGACTGTGGTTTAACCGCCTCTAGCTAGGTCAAATCTACTCGAAAATTTATTTAGATTATTAATAAAATTTGTGAAATTATTCTGTTACAAAGAAATTCCACTAATTCCAGTCGATTTTGCGTTTGCCCCAAAATTAAATTTGAGAGACATTTTCAATTTAATTAAATACATAGACGTTTGATTTTTAAGTGTTTTTAGTGGCTATTTTCCTAGAAGCGGCAAACTACAACAGATTTCTTTCTATGTAAACTCAAGTTTAAGACCGTTTTAATAACTTTTAAAATTCTAAGTGGAGCGAATAGTGGAATAAAGTAAAAAAGAATAATCTTAAGTGCTGTTGTAACTAAAAGAAGCGATGAATGGGATTTTGAAGTAATCTCCTTATAAATATGATTTAGGTCATCGAAAAACTTTTTCAGTTCGGCGTTTTCTTTAACAAATAGCAATTTGTACGTTTTCCAATTAATTGCGACAGCAATAAAACGGAAAATAAGACAAGAAAGCCATCAAGTTTACTGATATAACAATACGTCGGCACTTTTGTAAGATTACCCTATTTTATTGTTCCACTGATTTACAAGATGATCCCATACTAGTCGTTCTCAAACACTCGTAATTTTTGGACCTCCAGCATCAAATTTTATTACAACAGAAACTTTTTTTTCTTTATTTTTCCTCGATCAAATATAACATCTCTACACAGTTCATACATCTACATATTTATTCTAAAAAAAAAGAAACTAAGAAGTGTTATTTGCAGGGGAAATTGTAAATGAAATTTTGTTATGGAGTGGCTACGTATATAAATTGGAAAGAAAATTGTTTGCGGCCATGATTTACGAGCTTGCATTTTATTTTACAATACCTTCCCTCGTTTAATTTAATATTCCTTAATTAAAATATGACTTTTCATCAATTACGCCAGATAATTCAGACTCGTAGACTTCCCGGGCTCGCGCGAAATTTAATAGATAACACGCCTAAATCTTTTGCAAAACCCTATTTTATTTTCGAGCCTGACAAAAGGGACTTTAAGCTTTAGCACTCCATAAAACCTGTTCTTTATTTGGTCTCTTTCAAATGCACCGACCATTGAATTGCTATAAAGTTACCTACAATGGAAAAAGCGATACGATTCCCGGACGTCTCATACAAATCAGGGGAAAAACAGTAAATATATATTCATTTATTCATTCAGTAAATTCAATAGTCTCTGATGCATTTAGTTTGAAGGATCTAACATTAATATCTTGTTCAGTTCAGCTTTCTATATAATTATAATTCAATAAAAGTACTTTAACTGGTCTCATAGACAAAGAAAAAGTTTGGTATTATAGACAAAAAATCTCTGGATCTCTCGGCAGTTTGATTTCGGAAAAGGCCAATGTCGACTCTGAAATTCAGCACATAACTAGCAGCATCTTAAGAGCATTCTGGAAATTAAAACCCAGGATTTTCTATAATCATGACTTGAGACCAAAAACAAAATTTGCAGTATACCGAGCAATAATAATCCCCACCATGATATATGGAAGTGAAACCTGTATGCCGTACATGAACGCATTAGTAAGTAAGTAAGTAAGTAAGTAAGTAAGTAAGTAAGTAAGTAAGTAAGTAAGTAAGTAAGTAAGTAAGTAAGTAAGTAAGTAAGTAAGTAAGTAAGTAAGTAAGTAAGTAAGTAAGTAAGTAAGGTGGGTGGGTGGGTGAGGTGGAGTGGGGTGGGTGAGGTGAGGTGAGTGTGAGTGGGTGGGTGGGTGGGTAGGTGAGGTGGAGTGGGGAGTGGGTGGGGTGGGTGGGGTGGGTGAGGTGAGGTGGGTGAGTGGAGTGGGTGGGGTGGGTGAGTGAGGTGGGGTGAGGGTGGGTGGGGTGAGGTGTGGAGTGAGTGGAGTGGGTGGAGGTGGGGTGGGTGGGTGAGGTGGGTGAGGTGGGTGGAGGTGAGTGGGTGGGTGGGTGAGGTGAGGTGGGGTGGGGTGGGTGGGTGGAGGTGGGTGGGTGGAGGTGGGTGAGGTGGGGTGGGGTGGGTGGGGTGGGTGGGGTGGGGTGGAGGTGGAGTGGGGGTGGGGTGTGGTGGGGTGGGGTGGAGTGGAGTGGGGTGGGGTGGGTGGGTGGTGGGGTGGGTGAGGTGGGTGGGGTGGGGTGGAGGGTGGGTGGGTGGAGGTGGGTGGGTGAGGTGGGGTGAGGTGGGTGGGTGGTGAGTGGAGTGGGTGGGTGAGGGTGAGTGGGGTGGGTGGAGTGGGGTGGGTGGTGAGGTGGAGTGGAGTGAGGTGGGTGGTGGAGTGGGTGAGGTGGGTGGGGTGAGGTGGGAAGTGGGTGAGTGGTAAGTAGGTGAAGTGAGTAAGTAAGTAAGTAAGTAAGTAAGTAAGTAAGTAAGTAAGTAAGTAAGTAAGTAAGTAAGTAAGTAAGTAAGTAAGTAAGTAAGTAAGTAAGTAAGTAAGTAAGTAAGTAAGTAAGTAAGTAAGTAATAAGTAAAAAACTTATTAAGGAGCTGATACTGGATCAAATATGGAACTAAAGTGAGATCTGTTAGTGTTTTGATATTTAACTCTTTTTTGAATAGACGAAGTAATTCGAAAAGAAAGTGGAAAAGAGACGAAAAAAGTGGATATTCTTTTAAAGGATAAAATATGATATATCAATCTGAAGAATGTATCTCTACCCTCTATTGTTATGATAAACAGTATAAATGCGAGATAAATGTGGGGGGAAACTTCGAGACACGATTGAGTTTAGGTTATAAAAAAAGGTGAAAGGATTGATCGATTAACGATTTCTGAGATCTTTTTTCTCTCCAGTTGCGAAATAAATATCTTGAAAGTTTTCAACGTAACGAACCTGCTTGAAAGTGATATACACGTAAGCGCGATATTCTGTTTAAAGTGAAGACAGTCTGTAACTACAGATGCTTGCGAATTTCGTATTATAACTGTGTCATATTGTTTTGAATAAGGATTATAGCTCTAAGCCCTTAAGGCCAGTCTTGCTTTGAGTATAAAATAACTTGTCGGATATCAAGCTTTAAAGAGCGAGAACATAGTACAATCTCGCAGGTTTTTTTGTATTCAATTTATTTCAGTTATATGAAAAAAAATGGAATCTTTTATAGAAAGTATATTTGCGAATTTTTCTTTTCATGGTGTGCTGCGCAAATTATTATTTTTTGAATGAAATTTTAAGAAATCGAAGCTTTGTCTGTTATAAAAGGATTTT